TAACTCTTTCACAAGATCCAGTGAAAGGTGATTTTGTCATTTTTCCCAAAAGACATGATTAACATTCATCATCTAGCCTTAAGTCAAATGATTCCACCACTCCATTCTTTTGGAGTTGGGCGACACATTTCTTTTTAATGTGCCTAAGATGACAATGTCACAAGCATGCCTTATCTATACCATTAGATGAATCAATATGGAATACACTATTATCTAATATATCAACACAAATCATAGCTTCATATACACCATTACAAGGTAAAGCTTCAAACGTAAAATTATCAGTTTTATAAACCAATATTGAATCATTCACATCATTAAATGAATATTGAAAACCTTGTATAAATAATGCATGAAAAGAAATAATGTTTCACATCATTTCTGATGAATAACAACATGCAACTAAATCTAATCTAACATCACCACCAAGCACAAGGCTTTAAATTCCAATCTTGGTAACATGAGAAGATTACCTATTGCCCATGATTAGATTCAACCTTCCATTCTCCACCTCCTCACTTTCTCTTAGCCCCTACAAATCAGAAATAATTTGAAAACCACGTCTTGTATCAAGGGCCCAAGAACGATTAGATTGTGAGTTACTAGTTTGAATAATGTAAATACCTACCGACAATGGCTTCAATTTTCCATCCTTGATATCATGCAAGTACTTGGGGAAGCTTCATTCCAAATGGTCCTTTTCATTGGAATAGAAGCGAGTAGTCTCTCTGGGATCACTAACATAAGGAATGTAAAAACTGGGATTTACTTTTGGGCCATTACTAGATGACCTAACATGGGCCTTGCCCTTCCAGTTCGTTTTAGGAGCACCTTTTGTCTTCTTTCCTTTGTTTTGCACAATGCAAAGGATAGGAGCACTAGTAGGAGTAGAGTTTTTATTTTTCTTTAAACCTGACTCACCCGTCTGCAATAGGTTGTGGAGTTCACTATAAGAAAAGAACCTTTTACGACGCGCAAACAACGACACTCATTGATTTATGTTACGCAAAAGAGAGTGACATTAAAAAAGCGTTGTCTCTTCAAAAAATTTAAGGATTTAGGTCACGCATTATTGCATGCCCTTAAATTAGTTTCTAAACAAAAAAAACGGAGGGCACCTATAATAAAATGTGTGTCGTCTAAAGACGTCGCTTTATAAATTTTAATGGAACGCGTGTTCCATCAGGGGCAAATGAAATCCTAAAAAATTAAAAAAAACCCATCTTTTTCTTCTTTCCCTCTTTCCCTAATTATCGACGCTCCTTCCTTTCCCTCTTGTCTCTCTCGGTCACTACCTAGGGTTTTTATTGAAAGCTTGAATCGATCGACTGATGTAACCAAAGGTTAAGCGAACCGGGAAAGGGTTTTCAGTGAAATATACTGTTACTCTTTGAAATCGGATCCAATCCTACCTTCACCCCATCTTTCTTGTCTCTATCAGTTGCTACCCAGGGTTTTTCGTGAAAGCTTGAATCGATCGACTATGGTAATTAAAGGGTAAGCGCATCGCGAAAGGGAAGCAATAAATCCAACACTCACTCTCAAATTGTTTCTACTAGACAAGGTTTCAATTTGGGGCCCTCTACATTCTCATTGATTCTACTTTCTTTCAAGATTACCTTGGTTTTTTTTGGTATCTAGTAACCGAATTTTACATTCTCATCGATTCCACTTTCTCTCTCTGAACAAAAACATCTCATATTCTCTAAAAGCCCTAAACCAGCCACCCCTGGCTACCACCTCCACCATTGTTGATGTCGTCCTACTTCCCAGATGGTATGTGTGTGTGCACGGAAAGACTAAACAAAAAATGGGAAAGAAAAGAAAAAATGAGCAAAAAGAGAGAGAAGAGAGTTTAAGGGTGAGAGGAGGATGCATCGGAGTTGTGGTGCTGTTCTTAACGTCTTTTGAAAATACAGTAACCTTATTATGGGCTTGAAGAAAAAATGATCGTTTCCTTTGTTTTGCAGTTCTAGATGGTATGGGTTCACCCAGATATACTTTAGAGAAGTGTACGTTCATCTCTGAAGATCATAATCATACATACCTTATTTTGAATTTTGCTCTCTCTATCTCTTTCAACATTTCCTCTCTTCTTTCTTTCTAAAACCCTAGCCTATCATCATTGTAGATGAATTTTTGTGTTGTTTTCCACCATATGTGCTGGACCAGACCAGTTTTCACTTGACCAAGCTTTGAGTTGGAAAAAACGAATTGTGGTATTCATGGTGTGTTCTTAACAAAAGTTGCGAAATTATTAAGGTAAGCTGATTCTCATTGATAAATTCGAGGTATATATATATATATATGATAAGTATAATAAATGAAATGATAATATGATTATACATGTGTTATAAGTTCGATTTTGAGTTATAGATTGACAAGAGGCGGAATGCAAAACCATGATTTTGACCTAAAATAGTCAACTATGTGAATTGTTCATTATAGATTGGATGGTTAAATTAATCGTTTTTGATGATGTATTAACATTGAATGTCTTGTAACTAGGCTGTAGCCTTAGAAAGAATCCAACACAAATGTAGCTATTCCTGGAATACGTTTTAAAGTTCTATCAGACGGCCAACCAGCGGATCCAGAGCACCGCAAAGTCATGAGGATGGTGGAAGGTAAAGAAGTGAACAATCCTTATATTAAACCGCCTCTATACCAGGTGAGTAGTTAGTCACATCATGCAAATGTCTATTTAATTTAATTGTTTTGGCTGGCTTTCAGACATGTGTTTATTGTCTTCTTGTTCAAGTTTTTACTTTTTACTTTTTTCTCAGCTTTGGAGATTTAAAATTGCAAAACCCAGAGAACAAAGCTTTTGCACAACACTCCTAGAAGAACTATGCGGGAAAATTTCTAGAATGCCATCTCAACTTGTTGAATGCACTGCGTATTGGTGACTATCTACCTGATAGAGTTTCCAACCTTATTTTGCAATACATGAGCAACAGGTCTGTTTCATTTCATGTAATCCATGATTTAATACTTTCCTTTCCTTTTCTTATCATATTCCTTTTGAAATCATCAACTTTTGTCCATCAGTCTTTCCAAGACTACAATGTACTATCTGCTCCAACCAACACTTGATGTTGTTCTGTTTGAGATTATCTTTCCACTTATGTGCTTCAATGATAATGATCAATCCCTTTAGGAGGAATGTCCTTCTTACATATCCATAAAAAAATGAGATTTTTTTTGTTCTGTTGCAGGTTCTCGATGGGGACGATGAACAATGTCCTTCTTACTTATCCATATTCTTCTTCTTTCAATCTCGAGCCTGAAATTGAAAACGAAGCAGCAGGTGGGTCAAAGTATCAATAGTGATGGTGTTTGGAACCAAAAAACAAAGAACAATAGCAAGTATCGAAGATTAACATTTGATATGATGCTTGCTTGGGAAATTCCAGATTCTGCTAGCCAGCAAACCATAAATTTATGTTCTTTTGTACTGTTGTACATTCATTATATAATGATGATATCCCCAACACATGTATAGTTAGAAAATAGCTTTTTATCAGTTTACATGTTTCTAAAGCTTCTCAGACTTATAATTTCAGTTTTTCATTCATTCACAGTTAAGGTAGACCTTTGATTGAACAATTTGGATCACTGTGCAGATAGATGAGGATCCAACAGTAGGGAGAGAGGCCTTTTCCAGTTGAGCTCCATATGTGCCTATTATTGTAAATGTGATTGTCAGAAGTTACATTATTGAGTTTCTTACTACATCCACTGGAGGCTGGCTTCAGTATTCTACATATGAGAAATATCTTTCTGCATTGGAATGTACTCAAAATACTTCTGCAATATGCTCTTATATTTGCATTAAAGATCTCGTGTTCCATGTTCTTGGGAACGTTGTGAATGTAACAAGATTGACCATTCAACATGTTTATTAAAAAACTTAAATCACAAATAGAATTATCTCTGCTTTCATCTCAACGAGCTAAAAGAGGGGAAAGGATTCTTGAAGTGGATGGAACAATGACCACACAACCTGTTCTTGGGTTCTTGAAAGGAGATGCAACCGGTTTTGTTTTCGGAGTTGGTTGAGGTGGTCTTGGCTTAAAGTGAAACAGGGGTATTTGGGGTGGTCACGTTTGTAGAGAAGGTGGTGTAAACGGAGAAAGGAGGCTATCCGGTTCTCCTTTTTTTTTGTTGTTACAGGTCAAGAGGATGATTAATAATGAAGAACAGATACACATTATACACTTACATCGTATATTACAGTAGACTTCACTTGTTATCACCAAGAACGTATAAACCAGTTCCATCAAACCACCTTAAAACCTCATGCATGAAGAACACGTAACACCCAAGACTATTCATCATCTTCCTCATAAACCTAACCCCCTTATACCTCCATTTTACCCACCATAAACTCTTCATCTGTTAGCACAACATGTTTTCCCCGAGTTTGCCAGTCCTGTTGGTCATCTCAAAGCAAAGGTGAGCTAAGTTTCATAATACTTTATTTTCTATTTTTTCTTTCCTTTCCACTTCATTATATTATATTAATATTAATAAACAATAAAAACAGAAAGTTTCGTTGCTGCGTGGAAACTTTAAAAAGTTATTTAATGTTGTGTGTGTGTATGTTGGTTGATGCTTGATGGTCATTATCTTGTTGTATCCCTATTTGATGGAAACTTTAAATCTAAAAAAAATTATTTTCAAATGTTAGGCTGCGTGGGTTGCAGGACAATATGCCTATAGAAGTTTCTCTAACCCAGATAATTTCCGAAAAACACTACAAAGTGTCATTGCTGGGATGCATGACCCTGAGCTTCCAGTTCGTGCTGATTCTGTTTTTGCATTGCATTCTTTTGTTGAATCCTGCAATGGTAAAATGCACAACTAGTTTAACTGATCTTCTTTTATATTATGATTTCTTTCTTTCTTTCACACATATACAATTTAATAAGCCTGGAAAATATTTCTCTAATTTGCAGATGTTAGCGAAATAAGGCCAATTCTTCCACACCTACTTGATGGTATCCTACTTTTGTTTCTTCCCATTACAGCATTGTACCTTTCAGTTTTCACTGCTATATTTGGATAGATTTTGTATTTCCTAATAAGAAAAATATTGAATGTACAATGCGATAATTAGGTAAATTATATGAAGTACAATCTCTTAGAGCACCCACGGTAGTTAACCTTTCTTATTTTTTCCCCATAATATTTTCACCAACTTTATTTAAAAAATACCTATCTTTACATATCATCTCCAATGCAAAACCTTTTTTTAACAATTACATGTGTATCCGCATCTATTTGAAATATTGTTTAAAGACCCTTATCTAATTTGTTGTTTTTGAGCACATGCCATTTGATATTGATCATCTATGTAGTTCCAATACAAAAAATGTTCAATTTTATTTTGCATATTTAACAAAATAGATTTATTAGTCAAATATAACAAAGTTTAAAAAATGACTAAAATGGTTGGATAAAATACCAAAAAAAACATTTTCCACTCCAATGGTCAACAAAGACTTGTTGAAATAGCAATAAGCTATAAAATAACCTTCCATTGGAGATGCTCATAACAAAAATATTGGAAGTAGAATCCTGTATGTACTAAAAAGTTGTGAAAGTAGCTACCAATGTAGGATGTTATAATAAATAAATATATAAATGGAAACATGTTGCTACATAATCAGTCGTATATATGCAGAAAAAGAAGTTGTACTGATTCATGGCTTACATTACAACACATGGTTTGTTTTCAGATTTTTTTCAAGCTAATGGATGAAGTTGAAAACGCGGATCTGGTGTTTACACTTGATACAATTGTTGATAAGTTTGGAGAGGAGATGGCACCCTATACTATTGGCTTATGCCAGAGTCCGGTGATGTGTTTTTCTAATTGAAAATGTGAAGTTGCTCCTACCCATTATAACTTTAAAATTTTTTGATGTGAATTCAAGCTTCTGCATTTTGGATGTGTATCAATACTTCAGAAGCTAATGATGAAGCGGATGATCCTGGTGCTTTGGCAGTTGTGGGTTGTTTACGTGCCATTATTACCATTCTTGAATCACTGTGCAGGCTCCCTCACATTTTTTTCTCACATTGAGCCGATTCTACTACCAATAATGCTTCAAATGCTTACAACTGATGGGCAAGGTAATATTATTTGTTGCAGAAAAAGGCTTTAATTGCATTAGAAAATGTTGGGATTTTTACATCGGGTGGTTTGGTTAAAGACAAGGTAAAAAGTAAAAATAACATTCCTTGTTTGATATGTATATGTGCTTGTGTGTAGGTTGGTGTCAAAAAGCTTGCAAATGTTCACTTTTCCCTCATTTGACCACTAACATTTGGCACAGGTATTTGCAACTAACATTCCTTGTTTAATTCTTCTATTAATTATATTAGCATATTAATTTTTTTTACTTTTATTTGATCAGGTCACAAGAATTATCGGAGCAAGGGTTCATTAGTCTTAAAGAATTATGAAAGGCAAGATGCAACTCTACTTAATTGGAATTTGATGTTTATCATCTTTTTGTATATCTTTTTAGTTTGTATAGCTTTACTTTGAAGAAGGTGTCCCTTGATACGCAATGTAGTATTAGGTTATATAGTTAGGGAAAACCACTTAATAACAATGTACAATTAGACCCCTTAATATCAATGTATTACAATTTTTGGCATGATGTTATTTGATATAATTGATTGTTTTGGTATATATTTGTTTATAAGTTTTTATATTATGCGTAAATGAGTATCATAAAGATGCGTCACAAATGCATATCGTAAATGGTTATTGAAGTTTATGACATGCAAATGCGTGTCATCTTTATTTATGACAGGGGCTTCCTTGATACGCATTGCGTATCATAAACACACGCATCGTAAAAGTGTGTCGTCTCTTGTTATGACAGGGCCTTCCTTGACACGCATTTGCGCGTCGTAAAAGCTTGTTTTTCTAGTAGTGGTTGGGCCAATGTAGTTTCGGTATTGTTCATATGATAAGCTAATATAAATTGATGATATCAAGGTGGAAAGGAGTTAAGGACCATGTCAATGGCCAACTCCTTATCGAAATTCACATTAAGCCTTTCAAGGCGCTCTATATACCTTTGCATCCTTTGCATTTGGTTGCAGACGAACTCTCCTTCCTTCAACTTACAAGCCATGAGGGCCTTGACGGCCTCATACTTTTCTTAACGAGCTTTCTTATGATACTTTTCCACAAGATCCATGTTCATCTAATAGGTCCAGTAGTCCTCATAGAACCTTTGTAATCATGTAACCATGGTGGCGACCATGATGCAAGCAACCATTGTTACATCGTCGTAGTGTTTCTTATAGGAGAGAATTTCTTCAAGAGTAGCAATGTCCTCATCAATCTCAAAAAGTTGTTTTTCAAGGACATACTCTTTTCCATTGTATCGAAGAGCCATCTTGATGTTGCGCTCCCGATCATTGTAGTTGGTTCCATCCAATGTCACCTTGCACATAATCAAGAGCAGCAAGAAGTTGTGGGAAGAGTTTTGAGAAGCAGAAGAATCACCAAGAGTAGACATCTATAGAGAAAAAGTAGTTTTTGTTAGATGAGAATATATCCTTAATATTTTAAGCCATAATAAATATTTAAGGATAGGATTCCAAAATAACAATTTACAACTAAGAAGAGGGATGCGATAGTCTTATTGCGAAATTATGAAGGTATGTAAAGGCAATTTACCAATTTCAATCAAACTGAAATTCATAGATCTTTGGAGATTCATTGAATCTTATTAATGGCATGTTTAATCTCAGATTATGTTATTCTATTTGTCACTAGAATACCAAGGATCACAAACAAGATGTGAATAACCATGCAAATATGCTTGGCAACCTCAACGTCATTTATCATCTCTAATTAATGTGTCGGTTAACCACACGTGCTCCATTAAGAATGGTAATTTTTGATATGCCTATTACTACTCTTTATAGTCATTATTAGTATATCGGTTAGCCACACATACTCTACTAACTACATATAAAGCACAATGTCCAATTTCACGGATTAGCATATTTTTCACATTTGTCTGAAAGTAACTAAGAGTGAGATTTAAAAAAAATAGATACTTATATGATTATACTTACCAATGAGATTATGTCCTATCAAATCTGTTCGGCTAACGGCTCTCCGCCACACAGGAGATCGGTAGGTGAGAATTTGACACCCATTTAATGACCATTTTATAGGCCACTTCCTTATACCCTCTTTATAGCATGGTTTCGTGAATGAGGTGTACTAGCGATTTGACTGATTTTTCTTAGACATATAATATATTAATCCTTAAATAATATAAGTATAAGGTGTATTTTAAAATTTTTCTATAATACTAGGTTTAATTTAAATTTTCAAAAATTAATAAAAAAAGTAAATTAATTTAAAATATATGATTTAATCTTTATCTTTTAATCAACTATTAATTAAATTAATTTAAATCATATTAGGAATAAATGATTATTTACTATTAAACTATTAATTAAATAATTTAATTTAATCCTAATCCTTACCCTACTAGATTCTTGAAAATTAAGGGTATAGAGATTATCTAATTTTAATTATTTTATTTTAATCAATTAAAACAATAACTATCATATAAAGGAAACCCTAATATCCTTACCATATTTTCGAAAATTAAGGAGGAGGCTAGGGTTTCCAAAAACCCTAGCCCAAGTCGAAAATCCCTTCTTTTCAGGTTTAATTTCTATAAACCCTAATTTAATCTACTGAAATATTATGCATATCAATTGAAAACATTGTGTTCTGATGCCACCGATAGATTTTATAGTTTACAAAATCATGTGGTAGAAAATAACTTAACTCTTAAGTTCATATGCAACCTAATTGGATTTATGTTTTCACCATAAAATATGAACATCATACAATCCTATGGAAAATATAATATATTTGAAATACATAAATAAGTTAGGTTTTACATACCTTTTGATTATTCTTGTAAATAATCAATGAAATCATTCTTTAAATGCTCTTGGAATCTAGCACCAGAAATCTCGTGCTTGTGATGGTTCATACCCAAACCCTAGAAACAAATGAACTTAAAGAGAATGGAGAAGGGAGGTAAATTTTCGGCTATTCTCTTGGGAAAAGTGATGGCTGAAAATATGAAGGCTAAAGTCCATATTTATAAATGATATGAAAACCTTAGATAACCCTTACACTAATTCAAATAATTTTAATTCAAATGAGGTAATTATCCAGTTTCTCAATTATCCATATTATCTATATGGAATATTCTAGAAACCCTAAGATAACTCCTTAAAACCTTCTAATACCATGAAAGGTTCTGGAATCCATTTTGTTCAACTATTAAATAGTTACAGCTTAGGTTCTTGCACTTTTAATTAATCCCAATATTAATTCTAATTAATTTCTTATTAATACATAATAAAATAATATAATTTCTAATTAATATATTATTCTCATAATATATTAATAAATCATTTATTGCTATTTGTTAATTATATAATAAAAGAATAAATCAGTCTCTCTCTTCAAAATCATCCTATTCAATTACCAGGTTTGAGGGCAACTTGAAAGGACTTTGCTTATAACTCAAGTATATACCTATTTAGTTATTGGCTTAGATACCTAATCCAACGAAACTCACCTTACAGACAAAGAATAAAACCTTTACAACTTGACACACATAAAGGTAGGCACAACAACTACCTAAATAGGAATTCAAAGGTCAAACCTCACCTTATGACCTAAAACTCTAAAGTTTGACCTAAGATCAAACTTAGTCAAAACTCAATCATCAATTTGAACAGTCAAGTCGTTGGCGCTGTGGTCAGCACCATGGCCACACTTTGGTGGCTAAAAGATAAAATACATGTTTTACAACCTATCACTGCATCATGGTATATTCTTCGATGCGTCGTGGTAATGAGAGACAGATCAGATGCGAATCTTTCTCTCACCGCACCTTGGTCAACCCCTAGCCACTTAGCAGTTCACCCATAATACTTATTTCTTTATTAAGTTATTAATTCGTTAAGACCAACCCTAAAACTCTCCAAAAGGATTAATCATATGAAAATATGTCATAAAAATTATAAGTTTATTGACATACATAACCCATGTATGTTCTAAGCCATTTTAGGTAAAAATGGTAAAATATGTAACCTTTAACCTTTGCACGGCCCCAAATCACCCTTTAGCTCTGGATCTAAAATATAAAAGAATCTAAGGACAATCAAGGTTGATAAAGTTGAAAGCTTTATCTGGAGTTCTTCTCTAAACTCCCACAAAACCGTAAAAGGGACTCAAAATGTTAGATCTATGAAGTTTTGACCATCAAGCTAGGAACTTGAAGACTTAGAAAGATACAGAAGGTGAACAAGATGTTGGATCTCTTCAAGAAACACTCTCAAAATCCAATAGGGTGATGCTCTTCCTTCAGCAATACCAAAAAACACAAAAAGAGGCTAAGAGCAAGAAAGGGATGTTAGGATTTTGGAGGATACTATCTAGAGAGATAGAGGTTGTGGTTGGGGAAAATCCTAGCCCCATAATTCTTTAGAAAGGTCTCATGATCTAAGGTCTCAGGTTTTGATCCCAGAACGATGTTGTTTCGTGGTCTAATTAAATGTTATGTAGTGGTGACGAGGCATTACCATGCCATGGTAAGCCCATTACTACACTGCGGACTAGGCAAAACATGAAAACCCAACTCTCTTAACTTATCATACAAAGATTGAATTCATACATTGATTAGATGTCAAAAATCTCCATCTACTTAAATCAAGTTTCTTCTTGGATATTCACAGTGTTGAATAAATGTGGATAGTGCTCACGCATCTCCTCTTTGGGCTTATAAGTCCACTCAGAGCCCTTTCAGTTCCGCCACTTCACCTTCACTAAATCCACCTCCTTGTTGTGTAAGAAATTAGTCCTTCTATCTGAAATGGCTACTGGTCTCTCCACATAGTTCAGGTACTCATCAACTTGAATGTCGTCTAAAGGCACCACCAAAGAATTGTCTACTAAACACTTTTCAAGATGAGAAACATGGAAAGTGTTATGAATCTAACTTATCTCCTATGGTAATTCAACTGGTAGACCACTTTGCCCACCCTGGAAGTCACTTAATCAATCTAGATCCTAACTTGCCCCGCTTCCTGAAACGAATAACACCCCTTTATAGTGAAACCTTCAGCGATACCATATCTCCAACATGAAAATCCAAATCAGAACAACGGTTGTTAGCATAATTCTTCTGATAGCTTTGTGTTGTTTATATCCTATGTTTAACTTGCTTAATGAGCTATGCCGTCTTGAGCACCACCTCAGTGCTCCCCATGACTCTCTGTCCTGCCTCTCTGATATGTCCTTATTTAACTATATATTTTAGGCCATTATCTTAGTTAATTAATCTAAAATGTTATATTTTATGATATATGATACTTAGTGTATTTGAAATGTTCATATATAATTAAAGTCATAGATAGGACAAAAAAGGAAGAGAACGGAGCTGAAATGGATGAAAATCGAGCAAAAACCAAAAAAGATCCTAACTCGTTGACTAGATGTTAGTTTGGATGCGGAGTTTAAGTGGACTACTCGACGAGTCGAGATCTTGGACGAGTAGAGCTGCCAGGAGGAAACCTTAATCCTTAGGGTTTTCACCCTATTTAAGCATCATATCGGGCCTCCACCC